ATTGGAACATTCATGCACTGCTGCTGGGAATATAAAATGGCACAGTTGCTTTGGAAAACAATCTGGCAGTTCCACAGAAGGTTAAGCATAGTTACTGTATGATCCAGCAACTCCATGCCTAGGTATATATACCCAAGAGATATGAAATATATCCACACAGAAACTTGTATATAAATGTTGATAGTAACATTAGTCATAATAGACAAAAAGTGGACACAATGCAAATGTCCATCAACTGACGGGTGGATAAACATAATTCAGCAATAAAAAGGAATGAAATACTGATAAATGCTACAATATGGATGAACCTTCAAAACATACAAGGTGAAAGTAGCCAATCACAAAATACTGCATATTGTATGATTCATTTACAATAGATTCTCATTATTTGCAGATGCTGAATTTGCAAATTTTCCTACTCACTAAAATTTATTGTAACCCCAAAATCAATACTCATGGCACTTTCATGGTCATTCACAGACATGCATAGAGTGGCAAAAGATCTGAGTCTTCTCTCAGCTGAGGTTGAACAAAGCAACACTCTGGCGTTTTTTTTTTTAAGATTTTATTTATTTGTCAGAGAGAGGGGGAGAGAGAGAGAAAGTGAAAGTGCACAAGCAGGGGGAGCGGCAGGCAGAGGGAGAAGCAGGCTCCCCACTGAGCAAGGAGCCCGATGCGGGACTCGATCCCAGGACCCTGGGATCATGACCTGAGCCAAAGGTAGATGCTTAACCGACTGAGCCACCCCAGCGTCCCAACACTCTGGCTTTTTGTTTCAGCTTTATGTTATAAACAGGTGTCCTTTTCACAGTTTAATGGATGCCACATTTTTCATATTTTAGTTGGTGATTTTGCTGTTTTAAAATGGCCCCTAAGCTTAGTGCTGAAGTGCCTTGTTCCCTCAGGAGCAGTGATTCCATATTTGCTAATTCAATGTTCACAGCAACTTTATAGGATGACTATTGGAAATAACAAGAGTTGACTATACATGAGGTATCTAGAATAGACAAACCCATAGAGATAGAAATTAGATTAGTTGTTGCCTAGGATTGGGAATAGAGCAGGAAATAGGTAGTGATTGCTAATGAATATGGGATTTCTTTCTGGGATGATGAAAATGTTCTGGAATTACATAGGTTGATAGTTGTACACCTATATGAATATACAAAAAACCCATTGATTTTTATACTTTAAATAGCTCTTTATTCTTTAAATAGCTGAGTTCATGGTATATGAATTTTATCTTACTAAAGCTATTTAAAGACATTTGATGATAATTTTTATCTGTTGAATATCAATTGGATAATGATGGAATTGTTAATTTTTAGAGATGGGAAAAAGGTATGGTTTTGTATGAAATATCTTTGCTCTTAGGATACTGAGGTATTTAGTAGTAATATATCGAGTCTAGGGACGCCTGGGTGGCATAGTCAGTTAAGCATCTGCCTTCGGCTCAGGTCATGATCCCAGGGTCCTGGGATCAAGTCCCATGTGGGCCTCCCTGCTCAGCGGGGAGCCTGCTACTCCCTCTGCCTGCTGCTCCCCGTGCTTGTGCTATCTCTGTTTCTCTGACAAATAAATAAATAAAATCTTTTTAAAAAATGTATCAAGTCTACAAGTTACTTTCAATGGTTCAAGAATTTTTTTTTTAAGATTTTATTTATTTGAGAGAGACAGCATATGTGTGTGTAAGCATGATTGTGGGGAGGGGCAGGGGGAGAGGGAGAAGCATGCTCCCCACTGAGCAGGGAGCCCTACGATATGGGGTCCTATCCCAGGACCCTGGGTTCATGACCTAAGCTGAAGGCAGACACTTAACCGACTGAGCCACCCAGGAGCCCTGGGTTCAAGAATTTTTAAAAGACTAGAGAGTAAGAGAAGGAAAGCAAATACAAACAGCTAAGAAGGTAAAGATTTATGGAGCCCAGATCTAGAGAAAGGTGGAAATCCACAATGGTGAGAGTGGGTTCCCATAGAAGCTGCTGCTGATTCCAAAAGAAGCAGTTTGGATGATGAGAAGCCAGTTGAAGAGCACTTTTGACAGACCCTTGGAGGATGGTTAGAGTCTAGTGGTCTGGAGGTGCTGATAAATTACCTACAACTTGTGTTATGACCCTGAAAAGATACACCTAGATATGAGGGTATAAAAGAAGCAAACAGGCCCTTAACAGGAATATAAGCCCAGCTTCAAATCATCTCAGTTCCTGAAATTAGATTAAGGATATCATGGATTGATAATAGCCTTAGCAGCCTGCCTGAAGTAAACTAGAGGATAGTTAAGAAACCAGTATCCAGAATGAAATACATCTGGAGGAAGAGAGCATCATCCAGGGTCTCAAATTATTGCTACAGTTCTTCATGTATGTCTGATGCAGATGCATAAGCAAAACCAAATAGCAGGACCCAGAAGGACATTAGGTAACATAAATGGAAACTAAGTAAAACAACAGATGAGAAAACAGATTCGTAGGGACTCCAGAAAATGGAGTTAACAAAGAGACTTTTAAGTTAATATTGTTTAATACGTTGATGGCAATAGAAGAAAACAAAGGAATTTTGGCAGGTATTTGGAAAGTATTAAAAGGAAAAGGAATATCTAGAACAAAAACTACAATAACCAAAATTAAGAACTCATTGGGTTTAACCACAGATTAGACATTGCTACAGAGAGAACTAGTGATTTAGAGCAGTGTTCTAAGTGTGTCCTGTAACTACCGAGAGTACAGACTGGCTGTGTTTCAAACTGTGTAATAACAGTCCACAAGATAAGGAAACTTCATGCGGGATGTAAAGCAGCGTTGACACTGAGCACACTATTTAGTTTAATTAGCATTAAGAATTCATTGATTTACATTATGGCACAAGATACTTATTTTGTGATGGATTGGCCCTTGAATAGCAGTGACTTGAAGGATAGGAAGAAAATATCCAACATATTTTTGCACAAAGAGACAAAAGTACAGAAAATACAGAAAGGAATGAAGAAATTTAGGGGATGAAGCAAGGTGTAATTTACAAATAGAGAAGATGGGGCGCTTGGGTGGCTGAGCCGGTTAAGCATCTGCCTTTAGCTCAGGTCATGATCCTGGAGTCCCTGGATCAAGTCCCATATCGGGCTCCCTAGTCAGCGGGGAGGCTGTTTCTCCCTCAGTCCTTCACACCCCCTCTCGTGCTCTCTCTCACACTCTCTCTCTGAAATAAATAAAATCTTTAAAAAAAAAAATAGTCCTATAGCAGTCCTTCTCAAAATATTTGTGCTGATAGCCAATACTCTTATAACATACAGTAAAAATATAGCAATGTCATGTTACTTAACAGTCTCATTTGTTGTACTTTAGTATATGTGCTGCCGAAGCGAGCACATCATTTGTTGTACTTTAGATCAGTACATACGACTTGTGATTAAAACACTGGTCCACAGACCTTGTTTTAAGTGGCATGATACTAAAGAAATTGAATTCATAATTAAAATCTTAATCTTGATGCTGAGAATAAAATTCAGTGTTCATTCATGCTAAAAACTCTTAGCAAATAGAAATGGAAAAGGAACTACTAAATTTACAGCAACCCTGCAGCAAACATAATAATCAATGGTGACATGTTGAGAACTTTCCCTTTGAGATCAGGAATGAGACAAGGATGCCTGTTACTTCTGTTCAAGATTGTACAGCACGTCTGAGGTATAATAGCTTAATAATCAGAGCTGTAAGAATTGAAAAAAGAAGAAATAAACCTACCATTATTCACATACAGTATGACTGCAAATCCTTAAGATTTTTGAAAATCCAATAGAATCAAAAACAAGATTGCTGGATACAAGCACTATATTTTTTTTAAAAATCTATCATTTCTACGTAACAGTATCAAAGTGAAATTCTAGAAGACACCATTTACAATAGCATCAAAAAATATCAAGTATATATGAATAAACTTAGAGAAAACCTGCCACATGGAAACTATAAAACATTATAGATTCTCAATAAAGTTATTTTTAAAAACCATTATTGAGGGGTGCCTGGGTGGCTCAGTCATTAAGCATCTGCCTTCAGCTCAGGTCATGATCCCAGGGTCCTGGGATCGAGCCCCGCATCAGGCTCCCTGCTCTGTGGGAAGCCTGCTTCTCCCTCTCCTACTCCTCCTGCTTGTGTTCCCTCTCTCACTCTCTGTCTGGCAAATAAATAAAATCTTTTTTTTTTTTTTAATTTATTTGTTTGACAGAGAAAGAGCACAAGTAGGCAGAGCGGCAGGCAGAGGGAAAGGGAGAAGCAGGCTCTCTGCTGAGCAGGGAGCCCGATGCGGGGCTCGATCCCAGGACGCTGGGATCATGACCTGAGCCGAAGGCAGCCGTCCAACCGACTGAGCCACCCAGGCGCCCCTAAATAAATAAAATCTTTAAAAAAATAAATAAAAATAACCATTATTGAGAAAAATCTTTAAGAAACCTAATAAATGTGAGTTGAAACTCTCACTTTTATAAAGCTGTAGTTTATCTCAACCTACAGATTCAGTGTAATCCCAAACAATCTCAATAGGATTTTTTGGGGGTGAGGGTGTGGAACTTCAAGCTCTGATACTAAAATGTATGTGGAAATTCAAAGTGTCAGATAGCCAAAACACTCCTGAAGTTGAAGAACATTGTAGGAGGACTTGTTTTATTGGATACTAAGACCTATTATAAAACTATAGTAATTAAGGTAGTGCCATTTAGGTGCAAGGATAGACAGATACATCGTTTGTACCTATGAGAAAATAGATTAAAGATACTTCTAATAATGCCAGCGTAAGTAAACAAGAAAATAGCAGAGTTTAGTCAGCTATTTTACTTGTTCATTTTGTTTTACGACAGATTCTAAGCATGTGGATATTAGAGACTATTCCTTATTCTTACCACATCGTCAGTAGATCTGTTGTTAACACTAGATATGTAAGAGGTGTTTAATAGTTATTTGAATTGAATTTATGTGCTTAAGTTACTATTTTGAATCTTTATTTGGTTTTAGGTCTGCTGATTTGGGTCCTACTTTATTGACAAGACCTGGACAACCAACACTTACCAGAGTGCCCCCACCCATTCTTCCAAGGCCATCACAGCAGACAGGAAGCAGCAGTGTGAATACTTTCAGACCTGCTTACAGTTCATTTTCGTCAGGATATGGTGCCTATGGAAATTCGTTTTATGGAAGCTATAGCCCTTATAGTTATGGATATAATGGGTTGGGCTATAACCGCCTCCGTGTAGATGATCTGCCACCTAGTAGATTTGTTCAGCAAGCTGAAGAAAGCAGCAGAGGTGCATTTCAGTCCATTGAAAGTATTGTGCATGCATTTGCCTCCGTCAGTATGATGATGGATGCTACCTTTTCAGCTGTCTATAACAGTTTCAGGGCTGTATTGGATGTAGCAAATCACTTTTCCCGGTTAAAAATACATTTCACAAAGGTTTTTTCAGCTTTTGCATTAGTTAGGACTATAAGGTATCTTTACAGACGATTGCAGTGGATGATAGGTTTAAGAAGAGGCTCTGAGAATGAGGACCTATGGGCAGAAAGTGAAGGAACTGTTTCTTGCCTTGGTGCTGAGGACAGAGCAGCTAACTCAGCAAAATCTTGGCCAATATTCTTGTTCTTTGCTGTTATCCTTGGTGGTCCTTACCTCATCTGGAAACTGCTATCTACCCATAATGATGAAGTAACAGGTAAGAGTAAGAGAATGGGTTAAAAAACCATATAACAATCTCAAATTTCAAGCATAGATTTGTTAAATTAGCATTCTTCATATTCATTTGTATTTAATATTTTGATCCAGTTATATTTTCAATTAAGAACTTAAAAACTGGACAATGAATATGTAGCAAAAATAGGCTTATTGATTTATTTATTGTTTGTTTAATATAACAGTACACACTGCCTGACTACTGTTTACAAGATACTAAACTTGATGCTGTAGAGGATACAAAGATACATAGGACATAATTCCCTTATCTTTCTAAAACTTATTGTCAGGGAAGTGGGTAAAACAATACACAGGTAATTGTAATTTTGAGCTTGAAGAAAAAGAGAAAGTTCATAATAGATATCCTAGTGAACATATTGTTAGATTTTATATCGTGTTAATTATAGAATTTACTTTGGGGGGGTACTTTTCTCTTGGCAAATAAATTTATGCAGTTTATAAACCATAGCCAGTGAACTGTAAACCCTAATCCTTAATCTTAATTCTTAATTTGGTTTATAGACAATACAAACTGGGCAAGTGGTGACGATGACCATGTAGTTGCTAGAGCAGAATATGATTTTGCTGCTGTATCTGAAGAAGAAATTTCTTTCCGTGCTGGTGATATGCTAAACTTAGCTCTCAAAGGTAATAAAACATGAATAAATTGGAATTTTCCATGAATTTTTTGAATTTGTAAATGGAGTATTAAAAACTGCAACAAAGGATCTTGGTCATTGTTAGTTAACTCAGAAGTAGTTGCTAGGGTTTCTCTGTCGTGTCAGTTTAGAACTTCTAAATCTGGGCCTGTGGGAGAGAAATGCCCAACAGGGTTGTTCTAATAATATTTCACTGAGATGAGGAAAGATTTTGTTTATATCTCTTCTCAGTCTCTTCTAAACTCAAAGCTTGAATTCCAAACTCTGTTAATCCCCACACAAAAACATGAAGTAAGCACTATATGTAATAAATCTGACAACCCAAAGAAATTATCCAGTGTCATGTAAGTATCTCTCTCAGTCTTTGATTGCTTTCTTTTTTATTTGAATAGTGTTTACTTCAGAAACTCCAACATGAATATTTTAGGAATTACTGTCATGAAGTATTAAAGAACCTCATCAAAAAAATTTATACACATCTCAGGTTTATTTTATAATAGTTTTTAATGGCCCCAGGCAAAATGGCCTTTTCCCTTTAGCTTTCCCCAGTAATGATCAGAATTTTTAATGGATTTGGGGGGAAAAAAGATTTTTGTGTGTTTGTGGGGATTCAGGTTTGCTAGGAAAAGTAACATTTCGTTGGTAAAGATACTAGTGACAATAACAGCTGTCCTTTATAGTACAGGGCACTACAGTTTACATCTTGCATTTTAACCCTTATAATAATGGTATGATGTGGGTACTTTTATTATACTGTCCCTATTTTACTTATGAGAAAACTGAGACTCAGAATGACTAAATTGTCCAGGATCACAAAGCTAAGATATGATGGAGCTAGACTATAAACCTAGGTTTGTCCCACTTCAAAACCTGTACTTGTAACCACTTTGGCTGTTTTCCATGTGATCGATTAATGGAAACTTGAGCCTTTAGTTTTAGTCATTCTTTATATAGGGAAAAAATACCTTCAATGTTCACAATATTTGTTTATTGTATAAGTAACTGAAAAATTTGGATCAAATTTGCTAAATCTCTGCCTCATCCCTCATACACAAAACCTAGGCTTCTAAGTATTCATATTTTTCTTCTAGTGCAAATAGCACTTTCAGATAATTAGTTTTAATTTATCTAAATAAAGTATAAAAAAGATCAAGTGTGGTTTCTTTCAATTACATTATAATATTTCAGGAAAATTTTATATCTCAAATTATTCTTCCACTATTGATGCCTCTTAAACACTTTAGCTTTGCTTGTTTGCTTTTCTCCATTGCTCACATAAAGTATGTTTGAGCATTTAAAACAAAAATCAGTCACAGACATAGTTGATTTTAAGTGTTTTATTTTTTTTCTCTATTGTTCTCAGAGTTCAAGCCCCACATTGGGCTCCATGTCAACATGGAGCCTACTTAAAAAAAAACAAAAAAAAGGATTGTTCGTCACAATCACATAGAATGAATTTTATATTTTGGCAAAAGTATATAAAGAAATTTGGCTTGTATAAAGGTATATATTTTCTATGCTTGCTTCTAACTTCTATTGAGAATGAGAAATTCATTTCTTAAATTTCAATTTAAAATATGAAAAACACTGATGTTAGTTTAGCTTTTGGGAGAACCGAATCTCCTTACTCTATATAGAGCAACTGATATAAACTTCATGTTCTTTAAGGTTGAAAATATATTTAGTAAGTATAAAATAAAAAGTATATAAGAAAGGACCCTAGAACTGTTAAGCCTACTCATCATTTGATTTTGAATATATATACTATTTGTTTATGTATTTTAGTATGTAAGTGTAACAGATTTTACTTAATATTTTATTATCAATATTTTGTTGGACTCCAAAGTGTATTATAATTACAAGGCTGTCTTTTCTTCCATCAGAACAGCAACCCAAAGTGCGTGGTTGGCTTCTGGCTAGTCTTGATGGTCAAACAACAGGACTTATACCTGCTAATTATGTCAAAATTCTTGGTAAAAGAAGAGGTAGAAAAGCAGTGGAATCCAGCAAAATTTCCAAGCAGCAACAATCTTTTACCAACACAACACTAACTAAAGGAGCCACGGCTGCTGATTCTTTGGATGAACAGGAAGCTGCCTTTGAATCTGTTTTTGTTGAAACTAATAAGGTTCCAGTTGCACCTGATTCCACTGGGAAAGGTGGAGATAAACAAGATCTTTGATATCTTTTATGTTTGCCTGCAATTGAACTATACTTTTTAAAAATTACTTCTTACAAAGAAATTAATCTACAGTCCAATGAACACATTTGTTAATGGCTATTCCAGGTGTTTTGCTGCTAGAAATTATTAAATGTACACTAGTGTGTTGATCTAGTGACCTGGTTACATTTTACAAGTTATTGGACCATGAGGATATTTGTTTCACCTAGATTTTAAGATTATGGAGACTGCTATCATTTTCATCTTATTTAAAATCCTATGTTTTATTGAAAGTAAGATTGATGAACTGTAGAATACACTGTTTGCTACAGTAAGGGTCTTTAATGCTTTTTAAAGTTAGAGCTTAATTGATTTGGAATCCTCCCAGAAATTGAGTGATAAGATATAAATATGAGAACAGGCAAAAGACCACTTTTTTTTTTTTTACAACTTTAAACTGAATAATAAAAATTTTCTGATCTGTGTTATATCCAGTCTTGGGTTTGCTTTAGACAGTAATATGTTTTTAACCTACCAACAACTGATACTGTTACTTTTTATTGTATTTTTTAAAATTTATCTTGGAAGGGTCACTAGAAGTATTCTGAAGGAGATTATTCTAGAGTGATATTTAGCCCTTATAGTTTTTTCCTGCTAGTAAAAAGGCTGAAATTTATCTTTCTTACAGATTATTTCCATTTCTTCTGAGGATCATAGAACTTTTTATCCCTTTACAATATAACTAGTTTTCAACCTGGATAAATCAGAATATATGAAAGATTTACTTTTTTTTTCTCCAGCCAAGACTCAAATCCTTTGAGTTTGCACATAACAATATAATCAGTTCTAGCAGTAATGATTTAAATCTTTTCATGGATTCTCTGCTTTTCCCTAGTATAATTTCTTTTTAAATTCCATATTCAGGCTGTTCTTTAAACATTGAAAATGTGTCACATTGGATACACATTTCTTTTAGGTTTAGTTTTTACTACTGAGACTATAAATAAAATGCTGAATTGCCATTTAAGATATGATAATACTATATGACTTGTTTTGTGTTTAAAAAATGACTTTAAATGCAGTTAAATTTTAGTACACTGAATATTTCCCCACAAAATTGGAAAATCCATCTACTTGCTGTGATCATACTACAAAATAATATTAGGACTACAGGTATACAAGAATACATTTACAGATACTGTTCAAAACCTGGAATTATTTGATAAAAGATTTTGATTATTTTCTTCTTCTTATAGACTTTATGTTCATCAAATAAGTAATTCTAGAACAGTTCACACAAAAACATATAAGAACCAAATATATATTCAGCATAGAATTTTGGGCTTTTTGGGAACCTCTCTTTTGAAATGACAGCATAAGTAACATATAATTTAGAATACAAATATTGACCCCATGCAGAAAAAAAAATTATATGAGAGTAAAATTTATTTATCTTAGGCCTATTTTTTTAACACCCAGATATTATTTAGTCTTCAAGTTGAGATAAAGTTTCTTGTATATTATTTTACTTTTGTGTTCTACAATTAGAAGTTCTGCTTTTTTGTGTGTTAGAGTAATTTGTGGAAATTTTGTCCTTGAAACAATTCTCGATAAACAGATTATTAAATTTGATGTTGAGACATCCAAATTGATTGATAGAAGTGAAGTGGGGGTGAAATGTTGAGTCAGCACTATTTAGGTTAAAAAAGGTGAGTCTCCAGGATAGAATTTGTGACTACTATTAAAGGTGCATAAGAAGAGTATAGCATAGAATGAATGACAAAAACAATTTCACTTTTCTTAGGATGTTTGTTTTTCGGCTAAGTATACTAAATTGCAATATACATTATCTGACTGGTAACTATTTGTGTCTGAAAATTCCTTTTCTATTAGAATTCTGGAAAAGGAATTTAGAATAAGAGAAATTTTGTAGCCTTTTTTATCATGGCAGTTTTAGTATAATTTTTTAGATGAGATTAAATATGTTCACAGCTCTAATATTGTTATTTTTAGGAACTCATTTAAGTACTACTTTACAGAAATTACTAACTGAAACCAAAACATTTTCAGTTAAATAGAACAATAAATCACAAGTTACAATAAGAAAACAGGTGTCACGTAAATTTTTTTTCTGATTGTATTTTATCAGTTTAGAAAGGAAAAGGTAAGAGGACTATAAATTTTCATGTTTTAACATTTATTTGGGTACTTGATTTAGTCTGTCATTATGTCATAATTACACATTTACTTGAATACAGCTGTCCTTTATCTTACGCTTTAATGGAAAAAAATTATTCTTCAGTTAAAATTTCATTTTTAATAGGTTGTGAAGTTACTTTTACTGGACAAATAAAAATATATTAAACTTGGCTGACTTTTTTTGAAGATAAACTGTTAACTCTTTTTGCAGGATTGGAATTATAAAAAGTGTCTTTCTCATCGTGTATATTAACTACTGCAAACCAGTTTGTTCCATTTCCTTGTGATTTAAAGAAAAATATCAGATTTACATTTACATAAAAATTACCTAGAGGGTTATAAATAAAAACAAGACCACAAATCTAGGTTTTGGGAAATCTAGATATTAGTCTGAATACACTATGAACTTACTATAAGATTTAACTCACATTATTTTTTCGTTTCCTCATTGACAGCATTGGGGATAGCTGCTACATCTGCCTCATGAGAGAGTGCTCTTAAAAAATGTAAAGCAAAATCAGAGGGGCACCTGGGTGGCTCAGTCAGTTAAGCAGCTGCCTTTGGCTCAGGTCATGATCCCAGGGTCCTGGGATCCAGCCTTGCGTTGGGCTCCTTCCTCAGTGGGGAGCCTGCTTCTCCCTCTCCCTCTGCCTGCCACTCCACCTGCTTGTGCTCTCCCTTTCTTTATTAAAAAATCTTTATTAAAAAAAAATGTAAAGCAAAATCAAAAGTATGATGTTACAGCAGGTATATATGTTTTGTAAATTTTTCTATGTATATTGAAACTCCTTACATCCTGTAGAAATGTCACAAAGGATTTATATCCACCTAGAATTTCAGAATTACATATACTTAATTAAAAATCAAAATTCACTTGTACTTATAACTTTGCCCAAAATGTAATTTAAAATTATTTTGCTGAATACGAGAGAATGGCCTAACATAGAAAAACATATTGGAATATTTATTCAACACAAGAAATTTTTTTTCAGCATTACCTTGAAATGTTCTTTCATATCAGTTTTTTATTTAGCTTATCTTATTTGGGAGAATGAACTGTTTCTTTTAAATTCAGCAAATGCATAAATTCTGTGGAATACTTACCATATGCCCCATGAATAGTTTTTCACATTTAAAGAAATAATGTTTAATCTAAACATTATTAACAGTGTTTCTGCTCATCTAAAATAAGTGTTTTGGTTTGTAAGGATCTCAGGTGTTCAGAATTGAGTCAGTCATTGGTCATACTCTTTACTTATGACACCCATATCATTGGTCTAGAAAGGCTACACTTTTGTTCTGTTTTATTTCACCTTACTAGTTTTTATTCCTCTCCTGCCTGCAAATCCATACTCCTTATTCCTGTATTTAATGTTTATCCTTCCAGGCCATTTTCCAAATTTTGGATATATTTCCTTGAAAAACTATATATTTTACATGTTTTCTATATAAATGATACTGTGGTATAAATCTTATTTTGCTCCTAACTTTCATAAAATATTAAGTTTTAAGACCTATTCATGTTACCATATATAACATGCTCCTGACTGGTACATATTATTCTATTCCATTCACATACCATGGCTGATCTTTTCCTCTAGTCATAGATACTCAAGTTGTTCCCAGCTGTTCCACCTTCTACAAACTTGTACGTGTCTTCCTAGGAACCTGCCCTGTAGTTTCTATGGGATATATGTCCTAGAGTAGAATGGCTTGAGTTTGGGGTATATGCATATTTAATTTCTGTAAGTAATGCTGATTTTTTCTCAGGAATGGTTGTACCACTTTACACTTGGACCAGCAAGACATGAAGGTTTCATTTTATCTACATCTTCAGCAGCACCTACATTTTCTGATTTTTGTTAATCTGATATGGGTGAAACTGTTTTGTCTTAATCTGCATTGTCTGATTACTAATGAGGCTAGGCATATGCTTTTAGTCATTCTGGTTTTCCATTCTGTGAAAAATACTTAAAATTTGCCCTTTTTTTCTATTAGGTTTTTATCTTTCCTGCTGATTATGTAGTAAAAAAATTTTTATACATTTTAAACAATACTCTTGTCAGGTTCAAATGTTGTAAATAATTTAGTCTTGTTATTTGTTAATTCTTGTCTTTGGTGTCCTTCATGGAATAGAAATCTTTAATTTTCCCAGTTGTGCTTTTTAGGTCTTATCACCATTTACATTTAGGTCTTTAATTTAATTGGAATTTACTTTTTGATACAGTATGTGGTATGGATCCAACTTTTTCCAGCTAGTCATTAAAGGAAAAGGGTTAACAAAACCCCTTCTTTCTATGTATGGGAAAATGATCTTGGTTTTACCTTCTCCTTAGCACAATTTCCTTGGAAATCTATTGAGTTAGTAAATATGAAATGTCCCCTGCTTACTCGGCAACATTTTTATATTGTACGAAGAAAAGGTATAGACTTTAAGACTTCACTGAGTAAGGTAGTACTGGTAACTGAGCTTGTTCCTCATTGCAGAGACCTGGAACCTACTGTCAGGGATTTTTACAAGATAGTGGTTCCTGTGGCACATGAGGCTTACCTAAGGAGAATGCCTTCCTCTATATGGTATGTTTAACTGTGGTATATACTTCTGCCAAGCTAAGCGACCTTGGTACCAAGTTATATCCTTTTGGGTCCTGTAAGTGTGAATGTCTGCTGGGCATGCAGAGTAGGAATGTAGTCCATTTTTCTAACCATCTCCCTAATACATATTTTCCCCATTTCATTACATACCAAGTTCCCATAAACGAGATTTTGAGGCTCTCTGTTCTATTGATACATGTATCATTTCCTTTCCCAGTACAACAGTCCTAATTAACATTACTTTGTAATATGTCCTAATATCTGGTAGGTGAATCTATTTTGTCCTACTTTGTGAAAATTACCTTAGCTATTTGTGGATTTTTACTTACTCTGTTTAAGTGATAGTATCAGTTTATCAAATTCCCTTTTTTAAAAAAGCTACTGAGCTTTTTATTAGAATTACATTGAATTTATAGGTTAATTTAGAGAGAATTGACATAAGGTCAGATCATCCCATTTGTGAACAAAATTTCATTCTCCATTTATTCAGGACATTATGTGTATGCGTGTTTGTTGATAATTTGTCTCTTGTGTTGGCTAGTTCTTAGGGACTTTGTAAATTTTGTTGCCATTGAAAATCGTGTCCTCTTATTTCTAGTACAAAGAAATATATTGAACTTGGTGTGTTGATCTTGTATTTGTACTTTTGATGAAGGTTTATTATTTCTAATATCAATTCTCTTGGGTTTTCTATGTAAATGCAAATAATGACAGTCTTATCTCTTCCTTTTCAATCCTTGTACTTCTCATGCTCTTTGTTTTGACCAGGTTGCCAGTCTGTCTTTGACACTGGTTGTGGTAGCAGGCATTTCTATTTTTTCCACCTCAGAGTCTAAAGTTGCTCTATTAAATGTGTTTCCTGTGAGTTTTATGCTAGTCTTTTATCAAAAGAAGCTCCCTTTGGGACGCCTGGGTGGCTCAGTCGGTTAAGTGTCTGCCTTTGGCTCAGGTCATGATCTGAGGGTCCTGGGATGGAGCCCCATGTCAGGCTCTCTGCTCAGTAGGGAACCTGCTTCTCCCTCTCCCTCTGCTCTCTCTTTCTCAAATAAATAAAATCTTTTTTTTTTGTTGTTCCCTTTTAATGCCAATTTAAATCTACATTTGTTTAGATTGTCTTGATTTTTCACCTTTAGTAATAGTATGATGAAGAACATTGATTTTCTGATACCAAACCATTCTTGCATTCCTGCTTGATATGGGGGGGGCTTGTATGAAATAATTTATCAAAAATATACATATAAAGGAATGTGAAAGATAATATAAAAGTGAGGTAGTAGCATGCAGAAACCTAGCTCTATATAGAAGGCACTATTGCCACTGTTTGATGAGGTGTCCCAGGAGAAAATAAGCTGAAAAGAGGCCCTGCATCATAGGCTCCAGTTTCTCTGAGAATTACAAGAACCTTTTCTGTAGAAGTCACTGGGCAAGGTCCTGAGCAAATCTTGGGAAACTTAGGGTTATCCACAGTTAGTGTATTTTGAAAAGCACTAGCTATTAGAACTGAATCATCTGCCTGTAACACAGTCTGGGGGAGTGGGCTGCTTAGGCTTTTCTGCTTTTAAGTTCCCTGCTTTTTTTTTTTTTTTTTTTTTTCCTGCTTTTACTTAAGCTCTCA